ACATATACATCTTAAGGACAAAAAGAATTGGGGTTTTTTTGGAATTGTGTACTTTTCTTAAACTGCATTCAGTGGGTTTTTTGGTTTTCACTTTAAATATTTATTTATTTTGAGAGAGTTGGGGGGATGTTAGAGACAGAGGGAGAGGGAGAAGCAGACTCCCCCCGGAGCAGGGAGCCCAATGCAGGGCTCACTCCCAGGGTCCCAGGATCATGACCTGAGCCCAAGGCAGACATTTAACCAACTGAGCCACCCAGGCACCCCTGCATTCAGTGGTTTTATTGTTAGTGGTCTTGTAGTATCGTTATTACAATGTCTGTGTTGTAAGATGAAACTAATAAGCAATTACATTACTGTCTATAGGAATGAAGATTCATAAAAAGTCAGTCGACCAGACTACTGGGTGTCTCCCCATGCGATGCCCATAACACCCCCTATGCAGCTACTCTTGTCACCAAGAGGAAAAAAGGAAAAAAAGAACCTGAATATCAAGTCTGTTGATCTAACTAAAAACTTGCAGGAAATACAAGAAACAGAGCAAATGAAATAATGCCAGAGGAAACAATGAGAGTGTGGGACATTTTACAAGACAAATGATGTTTTCCTCAATAAAGAAGTGGCATGGGAAGTAGGGAAGATTAATTACAATTAATTACAAGAGGCATTCTTGTAATTAATTACAAGAGGCATTCGATCTGACACCCGAGTGCCATGTGGACCCTCCATCGATTCCGATTTGACAGACCCATGTGTAAAAAAGGCATTTTTTAAAAAAGATCTCATTTATTTACTTGACAGACAGAGATCACAAGTAGGCAGAGAGGCAGGCAGAGAGAGGGGGGGGGGGAAGCAGGCTCCCTTCTGAGCAGAGAGCCTGATGCAGGGCTTGTTTCCAGGACCCTGGGATCATGACCTAAGCCGAAGGCAGAGGCTTTAACCCATGGAGCCCCCCAGGCGCCCCTAAAAGAGGCATTTTTGAGACAATTTGGGAAACTCAAATATGGGCTGAATATGGGGGGAAAAATAATATATATGTATATATATAGAATCAGCCTGATGTGGTGTTCAGGAATTATTGTTAATTTCATTACACAGAAGATGGCACTGGGCTGTGCTCTCTAAACATGTTCTTTTTTGTTAGAGATACATATTGATGCATTTACTGGTAAAATAATATAATTCCTGGGATTTTCTTTCTAATACTTCAGCAAAAAAGGGGAGAGGCAAAGGGAGAATGATTAACAAGATTGGCAAAATTATTGATTATTGTTTAAGCTGGATGAGGGGGGATCATTATGGTGTTCTTTTTCTGTGTTGTGTTTCCATTTTTCTATGATAAAAAGAGTTTTAAAATGTTATAGATGACTTTTCTTCTTGTAATTAGTACCCATCTGGAGATTTCATTTCCTAAGCAATGAGAATCAAGTCTGTGAAGTTAATTTCCTCCTGACAATGGTGGATTCTTTCATCTTGGGACACACAGACAAAATGTCTTTCTATTTGCTATTATGAGAACAGTTCCTACTTTTCTGTAACTATGTGGCTTACTCACAGTTTCCTTCTCTGTTTGCACAAACAGAAACAAACACATAGTTATAAATAGCCATATGCAGGCGGTCCTTGCAGGACAGTGTCCTGACAGATCATAAAAATGATTTCACGCTGAAAGCATACAAAATAGTCTTAATAATTGGAACAATTACAATTGTTTTTGATCTTTAAAATGTCTTGTCAAGCTATATACAGAAGAATGAAACTCGAGCATTCACTTACACCATACTCAAAGATAAACTCTAAATGGATGAAAGACCTCAATGTGAGACAGTAATCCATCAAAATCCTAGAGGAGAACATAGGCAGTAACCTCTTCGACATTGCCACAGCAACTTCTTTCAAGACACATCTCCAAAGGCAAGGGAAACAAAAGCGAAAATGAACTTCTGGGACTTCATCAAGATCAAAAGCTTCTGCACAGCAAAGGAAATAGTCAACAAAACAAAGAGACAACCATGGAATGGGAGAAGATATTTGCAAATGACACTACAAAGGGCTGATATCCAAGATCTATAAAGAACTCCTCAGACTCAACACACACAAAACAGATAATCACATCAAAAAATGGGCAGAAGACATGAACAGACACTTCTCCAAAGAAGACATACAAATGGATAACAGACACATGAAAAAACAACATCATTAGCCATCAGGGAAATTCAAATCAAAACCACATTGAGATATCACCTTACACCAGTTAGAATTGACAAGATAAGAAACAACAAATGGTGGAGAGGATGTGGAGAAAGGGGAACCCTCTTACACTCTTGATAGGAATGCAAGCTGGTACAGCCACTTTGGAAAACAGTGTGGAGGCTCCTCAAAAGCTAAAAATAGAGCTACCCTATGGCCCAGCAATTGCACTACTGGGTATTTACCTCAAAGATACAGGTGTAGTGAAAAGAAGGACCTTATGCACCCCAGTGTTCATAGAAGCAATGTCCACAATAGCCAAACTATGGAAGGAACCAAGATCCCTTTTAGTAGAGAATGCATAAAGATCTCCATATATACAATGAAATATTACTCAGCCATCAGAAAGGATGAATACCCAATATTTGCATCAACATGGACGGAACTGGGGGAGGTTATTCCAAATGAAATAAGTCAAACAGAGAAAGACAATTATCATATGGTTTCACTTATTTGAGGAACATAAGGAATAGCATGGAGGACATTAGGAGAAGGAAGGGAAAAACAAAGGGGGGAAATCAGAGAGGGGAGAGGAACTATGAGAGACTATGGACTCTGGAAATCACTGAGGGTTTTAGAGGAATGGGAATGGTGGTGTGGGGATGGGTGAGCCCAGTGATGGGTATTAAGGAGGGCACATATTGCATGGATCACTGGGTGTTATACACAAACAATGAATCATGGAACACTACATCAAAAACTAATGATGTACTGTATGGTGACAAACATAATATAGTAAAAAAATTATAAAGAAAAAAAATGTTTTGTCAAAACATTAAAAACTCTCTTACCAGCAATTATAGCTGTATAAGAAACTGTATGGGAAAGAAAAATGGAAAAAAAAACAACAACAAAGCTGATATTTGTTATATTGTAATTGAAAATATTGGAAACTTTAAGGATTAAAGTATTCTTTGTAAAAAAAAAAAATTTCATTTTTCTCTGAGGGTGAAGGGGAAATAAATTAATATATTTTCAACTGTGGCTGAGCCCTCTAACTCAGCAATCCTAGGCACCTGGAGATTTACCTTTTGTGAAGTCACATCTAGTTTCTATTTTTCCTACCTTATAATATGAAGTCGGCATTTTTTTCTATGCCTTGGTGAGTTGTCATACTCTAAGTCCAGATAAGCTTCCCATAGTTTTCCCTTTGTACGTTCAACATCATGAAATATCTCTGAGAATTCCTTTTCTAATAAAACTATGGTTTCTCAGAATTCCCTGCAATTCTTGAAAAGATTCTCTATAGGTTTCTAGCTACCCATTGGGCACAATCTGATTATATTTCATAAAGTCACTTTCAAGATATTGACAATGAGGTAGACCCCTCTACCCTTCTACCCCAGGTTGTTAGGAATTTTAGTATCTTATTGCAATGATGTTTAAGCTTTTCTCATATGACATTATACTCAAAGTGGAATTATTCTAGAGTGTAAAGCAAGGATGAGAGACCTAGAATCCCATTTCCTGGGTCTCCCCCTCAGCTCCTGAGGTGACCCCCCCACAAAACACCTCCAAGAATACAGTTTGCAGATATCTGCACTTGATAGTAGATAGAGTCCATGGCTGATAAAGTGAAGTCATTAAGACATCCACACACCATGATGCAGATCAACTAGGATTCATCCTGTGGGTTCTTCCCAGCATGCTGGTCGTCTGAATCATCCCAGCCTTCGCAGAAATATCCTATACCTCCATTGCTGTCTCTGTTGCAGACACCTGATTAGAAGCCTGTGCTACCCTTCACCCGGCCTTCCCACTGATGCCTCAGACTGATCTGGCTCTCAGCATCCACCGTGACTGGGGCTCTGAATCTACCTTTCAGTGCCCGATGTCACCAGCAACTCCCAAGTGCTGCCCTCTACTTTCCAAGACATCAGCCCGGGATCTAGAGGTATCACACGCAGTTCTACCCACACGTAATTTGCGTTGGTATCTCTCTCCCCACATGCCTTTTGCTATTTTAGCTTCTCTCAGATACATAGTGTTTGTTCTAAAAGACTCCATGTCCTGAATTACTTCCTTGCCCTCTTTACAAGGTCAAAACCAGTTGTTGGAGTTGGTCATTCCTTTCATTAACAATCGGGTCTGGGGGCCGCCTGGGTGACTCAGTCGTTAAGTGTCTGCCTTCAGCTCAGGTCATGATCCTAGGGTCCTGGGTTCAAGCCCGGCATCAGGCTCCGTGCACAGCAGGGAACCTGCTTCTCCCTCTCCCACTCCCTGGGCTTGTGTTCCCTCTCCCACTGTCTCTCAAATAAATAAAATCTCAAAAAACAAAAAACAATCAGGTCTGGCTTTTAAGTTGGACCTCATTAATATCTGGCCCTATCTTTAGAAGCATAATACTGGGGCAGATGGCAAAGAAAACGGAGAAGGGTAGAACAGAAGGAAGTAGATTAGAACAGAAAGAAAATATCCTTCTTTAAAGTTTTGCATAATGCTGTGTTTATCATTATAAAGATGCGAGAGAGGAGGAGGATGAGAAAGAGGAAAGGAAGAAATATAAAGATTTTCTCAGAAGTGAAAGAATAAAGGCTTGGTAAATGCTTCTTGAAAGTTTGGGGAGGTTACTATGAACGTGGTTCGGGGGGGGTGTGCATGCGTGTGTGTGTGTGTGTGTGTGTGATATTCCTTCACTCTTCTGAATGCCTCCAATTCCAAAACCCTTTGACCTCATACATGTTATAAAATCTAATGCCATTTGAGAACTTCCAACAAAACTTATTTTTAAATGTTTGATTACTAATACTGACCAGCTGATCATCCAGTCCAAAGAGCTGCTCCATGTAAGTTTCAGACAATCTTCGAATTTTTGGCCTCATTGATGGATCGATGCACATATCCCTTTAATAAAATCGTCAAACAGAGGAAGACATTTCATTTCATAGTCGTTAGTTTTATCATTAAATCAGCAATTTGAATCAGTGATTCCATGGGTGGAGGGGAAGGAAGAGACACTTTGGGGAGAAGCATATCAAAATCACCTGCGGGGCTTTTTCAAACTACCCCCTCCTCAAGATTTTGCTGTGCGTCCCAAGAGGGCATACCTCCCTTTCTTCATCCCCAACTTGAAATATCTGCCCTGTGAGGACGTGATTGATGAGAGAAGGCTGTATTTCTCAGTTAAGAACCAGTGGGCAAACTGTTCCTATTAACGTCTTTGGGACTTCCAAGCCTGTGGAGGGATTCTTCAGCCATCTTGAAAATGGAAGCGTTTGTTGGCAAGACCTCTTTCATTACCACACAATGAGGGCTTTACCTTCAAAATAAAATATCTCCCTACTGTAAAGCAAAGCAATACTCACCAGAGAAGACTTTCAAGACCATTTTCCATGATAGTAATGATCATTTTCTGTAAATATTTCAGCGGATCCTCAGGACACGTAATAAGTAGGCCGCATAACAGAGCCTAGGGAAAATGAAACAAATCACTCTTCCCGGATTTGTGTGTTCTTACTAAACAGCAGATGGGCTTCTCTCCTACAATTACAAAGTTAAATAATGTGACAGTTTTTTAGGTCAACGTGCCCCCTCTTTCTATCCAGAGTTAGTATTTTGTTGAAGTTCAACTAAAATGCCTCCCTTTACTATTGAAAGAAAAATCCATTGTCGACGACACAATAGGGTTGCTGCTTAGTGTTTTCCCTTATGTGAGCAGAGATTTGTAGCCAAATTGAAGACATAGTTGTGGTACTTTTGATCAGTGGGTTCTACCCTTTTTAAGGATGAAGACCCCTGACTGATTTCTTTCTCCCCCAGAGCCAGAGAATATAATTGCACTAGAGGTCAGTGATTCTCATCGCAGTTGCAAGATGAATGTAAATAGTATTCTGTGACCTAAGGGCTGAAGTCTATTACCCAGAGGCCAGACTTCCAACAGCTCCCTGAACAGCCCTAATGACAGGCCCTTCTGCCTTCTGGCACTTTAGGGCCTGAGTCCCCAGAATACGGACTTTCTCTACTTCCCACCGCTCGCCGCTTCATTCATTCTGTTGTAGCACCCCGAGAACATTTACCTCAGAATCACCTGGGGGTTGAACAAGTGAAGATGGGGCCCCGGGAGCTGCATTTTGAGGAGCTCCCCAGGTGATTCTTAAACACACTAAAGTCTGAGAACTAAGGCCTAAATGGAACGCAACATTGAGGTGATTTTTTTTAAAGTTAGGATCTAATTAATGAATATAAGAAATTACTTGTTTCTTTATATTTCTAAGTTCCACAGATTAGAAAATGACAGTCCCTGCAGAAGTCAAATCAAGTTAAAAGGTAAGTCTCTAGAACACTAGTAGAGGCATAAGGAACTAGCAGAGTTCAAATGTTCACCTTCTGGGTAAGAAATCTCACTGTTTATTTTCCCACTGGGCAAAATAAAACAGACTGAGGCTTTATAGAATTAACGCGTGAATGCTACATAGCCCTGTGCTAATAAGAAAACCATAACTAGTGAACAAATAGCTTTTTTTCTGCGCAATGAAAATAAAAATTATGAAACCGCTGGTTTGGTCTTTATAAGCAGAGGCAAAATATGCAAACATTCCCACAAGATGAATGTTTGACTCTCAGAAAACATCAATTAGGGCTTTATCAAGGCTAGTTTCTTAGTGAAAACTTACACAACGAAGGACAAAAAAGACCAAGTTTCACAAAATAAGTGTGCAATCCTCCACTTTCTTTTGGTTCTGCCTAACTCCATTCCCAATATTTTTCAAATATTCTGAAAGGTGTCTGGGGACTGATGACGAACGTAGGTTTATTCAGGGCAATTGTTTCTTTTTTTTTTCTTTTTTCTATTTTTTAAGGTTTTATTGATTTATTTTAGAGGCTGGGGGCAGAATGAAAGGGAGAGTCTTAAGCAGACTGTGCGCTGAGCATGGAGGCCAACGTGGGGCTCGATCTCACGACCCAGAGATCATGACCTGAGCCAAAACCAAGAGCTGAAACAGATTGTGCCACCCAGGCATCCCCAGGACATTGTTTCTCTTTTCTACTACTACCCATCTTTCAAGGAACAAGATAATGCAGTAGCTGGAGTCCACTGGGTTTAAATCCTGGATGGGCAATCTTCTAATGTGGAACCTTGGACAAGTTACTCCTCTGTTCCTGTTTCCTTACCTATACATGGGATCATAAAGGTACATATGTCATAGGCTATCATGAGAATTAAGTGAACTAATATATGTAAAGTACTTTGAATAGTGTCTAGCATAAAATAAGTACTCAATAGATAATAATGATATGTTATATTATTATATAATAATGATAACAAGCCATTACTATTTTTAACCATTCCACTGCTAATTCTTACCTCCATTAGAGGGAAAGACTTGAGCAAAGAGAAAAGAAATTCAAATTCAAAGAAATTCAAAACTATTCCCTTGTACCACTCAAAGCCAGTGGGATGATAGAGGGATTGATTTCATTGATTTCATACCAAGCCTAATGGAAAAGATTAGGACAAATGTATTTGGGGGGAAATGATTAGGAGAGAGAACTTGATAGAACAATAGTTTAAACATAAATAATAAGACAGTAAATGTCTATGAGAACTGTGGGTAGATATAAAACACTTAAGAGAGCAAGTCCTTATTTTTTTCAAGATTGTATTTTTAAATCGTTTTTACACCCAACATGGGGCTTGAACTCACATCCCTGAGATCAAGAGTTGCATGTTCCATCCACCGATTGAGCCAGCCAGGTACCCTGAAAGCAAGTCTTTTCAGATATGCAGGTAAGTATGGTAAAATATACTAAGGGCCTGTGTAGCAATGCAAAAATTAATTGTTTCATGAGTGCAAAGGTAAAGTGATTGCAAAAGGCTTGTGAAGCCCTCAATAGTTGGAGAAACTTCCAAGGGTCAAGGAATGGGCAGAAGGTTTACAGGTAGGGTCTTTCTCTTGGCAAGAGCAAAGCCTCATGGGTGTAGACCCGTTTGGCTGGAGTAAAGGGTTCAGGTGAGAGAGAAGCAAACATAGCCATTCTGTGAAGAAGCCGGAATTCTATACCAAGACCTGGGACTGGGTCCTCCTCTAGAATCCTCTAGGCCATTCATGATCAAACCCCAGCAAGATCAACCACGTGGCCAAAGGCCAATCATCAGAACTTCATGGCTCATTTTGCTTCCTAATACCCCATTAGGGATGACCTGGACTTTTAGAGGGTATATTCTTGCTTCTGGGTTTCACAGATGAGGCAAAGAAGGGCCAGGTGATTCACAGAGTGAACAGGTTTTTAAACTACAAACTCAGGGCTCCTCCCTTGCACATAGCATGCACTCGCACAAAATTGTCCACATGTGTATCTTCCTCCAGAACTTGAGGGATTTTTTTTCCACATTATCTATCTGGAAATATTTTATGCATATGCAAACCCACAAACACGTTCTTCTTTTATGGTAGAATAGGGTGCCTGAGTGGCTCAGTCAGTTAAGGGTCTGGCTTCAGCTCAGGGTATGGTCCCAGGGTCATGAGATCAAGCCCCAGACTGGGCTCCTTGCTCAGTGGGGAATCTGCTTCTCCCTCTACTTCTGTCCCTCCCCCAGCTTGTGCGCTCTCTCTCTCAAATAAATAAAATCTTTAAATAAATAAATAGATGGCAGAGTAACCAACATATAGCTTTCACCTTGTTCGTTTTTTGTTTTTTTTTAGATGAAGATTGCTTTTAAAAATGCAATGTCAGAATCACAAAGTTACAGAAACCTCTTTCCTTAGGAATAGGTTTAAGTTTCTTTTTTTCTTTTTTAAAGAATTTATTTATTTATATGACAGTGAGAGAGAGAGAGCATGAGCAGGGGATAGGGAAGCAGGCTCCCCACTGAACAGGGAACACGATGGGGGGCTCCATCCCAGGACCCTGGGACCATGACCTGAGCTGAGCTGAAGGCAGATGCTTAACCAACTGAGCCACCCAGGCGCCCTGGAATAGGTTTAAGTTTCTGTTCAAAGTCTCTTGTACCTCCCTAAGCCCCCCCAATCAAGCCCCAAGTGACATCTCACAAACACTTGCCATCCCCACCTCTGGTAGAAATGGAGTTGGCATGCCGTTGTGTCATTTGAAGGGACCTCTTAATTTGTTTCTGTGAAAGTTAATAAGTTAAAAATGTGAAAATACAGAAGTTTCTGTGTCTTCTTGACATTTAAATAGAGGGTTTGTTTGTTTTGTTTTGTTTTTGTTTTTTTACTTTAGAAACTCCATAACTGAAAATATAGTGAAGATTATTGAAAAGGGTCAGCTGACTTTGGCCATTCAGGAGGGACCTCAGGGAGAGGAAGATGCCCCTTGAGGGGTTTTAAGGCAGAGTGGACATGTGAGGAGACAGTCTCCACGAAGTGAGAGCAAGACAAGGATTCTGTTACCTGCTGGATTGCACCGGGCCCGACAGGGAGGGACCCACCAGCTGTGGAATCCCTAGACAAGTGAATTGCTACTGGAGAAAAAGATAATTATATACTTTTTTGGTTATTTAAGTGTTCCACGAATTTGCCTCTGGAACTACATCTGTGAAATGGGGGACTGGGCTAAGGGAACTCAGCAAACATAACTGCCCTCAAGAGAAGCCACAACCTGTTAGCCCCAAGGTCCCATAAAATGAGTCAGGGTATCTAGTTCCTTCTGTCCCACATTGGCTGTCAGTCTCTTGCTCCCATAGCCAATAGCTCCTCATTCTTGCCTCTCTAGCAAATATTTAGCTAGCAGCTGTTAGTCCCTAAAAGAAAATACCCAGGAATAGTCTATGTGATATAGAAATAAATGCAATATTTTTAAAATTGCATTTATGTATTTATAAAATAAATTTATAATAAATTTATTAAATATTTATTTATAATATATTATATCATAAATATATAACATATTAAATATTAAATATATTAAATATTAAAATATATTATATAATATGTTATAATATATTAAATTTATAATAAATTTATAAATTCATTATATAAATAAATTTATAATAAATTTATTAAATAAATTTATAAAAATTGCATTTATATATTTATAAAATAAATGCAATATTTTAAAAATTGCATTTATGTACAAACTGGGATCAATCACGAGAGAAACATAAAACATAAATATCATAAAAATTTAAAAAGTTTTATAGTATTTCTAAAAATAGAAAACTTTGCATAAGGATCATGATTTGTAACTTAAATACGCCCTCTGCTGGGAATATCTAGTTTTGCAAACTGAGTCTTAAACAGAAATGCGATCTTAGGTTTTGAAGAACACTTTTCCGCTCTCACAGACAACCACTACATGTAGATGTTTAATAATTTGGTAGACACTTTACCCATAGTATCTCCCCCATCTCTGGTCCCATGGGTTAGGCCTTGTCTATACGCAGTGTGCTCGCTCCTGACTAGTAGAAAACAGAGAGAGAAACTGATCTCTAAATATTACTGACAAAGT